TGTGTGTAACAACACATCGACAATGTTAGAAGTGGCTGTTTATTTGTGTACAACACCACGAAAACAAGGTTAGACGTGGCTGTTTATTTGTGTATAACACCATGTCGACAATGTTAGACGTGGCTGTTTGTGTGTAACAACACATCGACAATCTTAGACGTGGCTGTTTGTTTGTGTATAACACCACGTCGACAATGTTAGACGTGGCTGTTTGTGTATAACAACACGTCGACAAGGTTAGAGGTGGCTGTTTGTGTATGACACCATGTCGACAATCTTAGACGTGGCTGTTTGTGTATAACACCATGTCGACAATGTTAGACGTGGCTGTTTGTGTATAACACCATGTCGACAAGGTTAGACATGGCTGTTTGTTTGTGTGTAACAACACGTCGACAAGGTTAGATGTGGCTGTTTATTTGTGTATAACAACACGTCGACAATGTTAGACGTGGCTGTTTATCTGTGTGTAACAACACGTCGACAATGTTAGACGTGGCTGTTTGTGTGTAGACATGGCTGTTTATTTGTGTATAACACCACGTCGACAAGGTTAGATGTGGCTGTTTGTGTGTAACACCACGTCGACAAGGTTAGATGTGGCTGTTTGTGTGTAACACCACGTCGACAAGGTTAGACGTGGCTGTTTGTTTGTGTATAACAACACGTCGACAATATTAGAGGTTATGTGTGTTAGACGTGGCTGTTTGTGTCTAACACCACGTCGACAATGTTAGACGTGGCTGTTTATTTGTGTATAACACCACGTCGACAATGTTAGACGTGGCTGTTTGTGTATAACACCATGTCGACGATGTTAGACGTGGCTGTTTGTGTGTAACAACACATCGACAATCTTAGACGTGGCTGTTTGTTTGTGTATAACACCACGTCGACAATGTTAGACGTGGCTGTTTATTTGTGTATAACACCACGTCGACAAGGTTAAAAGTGGCTGTTACTTTGTGTATAACACCACGTCGACAATGTTAGACGTGGCTGTTTGTGTATAACAACACGTCGACAATGTTAGACGTGGCTGTTTGTGTATAACAACACGTCGACAATGTTAGACGTGGCTGTTTGTTTGTGTATAACACCACGTCGACAATGTTAGACGTGGCTGTTTGTGTGTAACAACACGTCGACAATGTTAGAGGTGGCTGTTTGTGTATAACACCACGTCGACAAGGTTAGAGGTGGCTGTTTGTGTGTAACTCCACGTCGACAATGTTAGACGTGGCTGTTTGTGTGTAACAACACGTCGACAATGTTAGACGTGGCTGTTTGTGTGTAACAACACGTCGACAATGTTAGACGTGGCTGTTTGTGTGTAACAACACGTCGACAATGTTAGACGTGGCTGTTTGTGTGTAACAACACGTCGACAATGTTAGACGTGGCTGTTTGTGTATAACAACACGTCGACAATGTTAGACGTGGCTGTTTGTGTATAACAACACGTCGACAATGTTAGACGTGGCTGTTTGTGTATAACACCATGTCGACAATGTTAGACGTGGCTGTTTGTGTGTAACAACACATCGACAATCTTAGACGTGGCTGTTTGTTTGTGTATAACACCACGTCGACAATGTTAGACGTGGCTGTTTGTGTGTAACAAAACGTGGACAATATTAGACGTGGCTGTTTGTGTGTAACAACACGTCGACAATGTTAGAAGTGGCTGTTTGTGTGTAACAACTATGTCGACAATGTTAGACGTGGCTGTTTGTGTGTAACAACACGTCGACAATGTTAGACGTGGCTGTTTGTGTATAACACCATGTCGACAATGTTAGACGTGGCTGTTTGTGTGTAACAACACGTCGACAATGTTGGAAGTGGCTGTTTGTGTATGACACCACGTCGACAAGGTGAGACGTGGCTGTTTGTGAATAACTACACGTCGACAAGGTTAGAGGTGGCTGTCTGTGTATGACACCATGTCGACAAGGTTAGATGTGGCTGTTTGTGTGTAACACCACGTCGACAAGGTTAGACGTGCCGGTTTGTGTGTAACAACACGTCGACAATGTTAGAGGTGGCTGTTTGTGTATAACACCACGTCGACAATGTTAGACGTGGCTGTTTGTGTATAACACCACGTTGACAATGTTAGACGTGGCTGTTTGTGTGTAACACCACGTCGATAATGTTAGACGTGGCTGTTTGTGTATAAGTCCACGTCGACAAGGTTAGACGTGGCTGTTTATCTGTGTGTAACAACACGTCGACAATGTTAGACGTGGCTGTTTGTGTGTAACAACACGTCGACAATGTTAGACGTGGCTGTTTGTGTATAACAACACGTCGACAATGTTAGACGTGGCTGTTTGTGTATAACACCATGTCGATAATGTTAGACGTGGCTGTTTGTTTGTGTATAACACCACGTCGACAATGTTAGACGTGGCTGTTTGTGTATAACAACACGTCGACAATGTTAGACGTGGCTGTTTGTGTATAACACCATGTCGACAATGTTAGACGTGGCTGTTTGTTTGTGTATAACACCACGTCGACAATGTTAGACGTGGCTGTTTGTTTGTGTATAACAACACGTCGACAATATTAGACGTGGCTGTTTATTTGTGTATAACAACACGTCGACAATGTTAGACGTGGCTGTTTATCTGTGTGTAACAACACGTCGACAATATTAGACGTGGCTGTTTGTGTATAACACTACATCGACAATGTTAGACGTGGCTGTTTGTGTATAACACCACGTTGACAATGTTAGACGTGGCTGTTTGTGTGTAACACCACGTCGACAATGTTAGACGTGGCTGTTTGTGTATAACAACACGTCGACAATGTTAGACGTGGCTGTTTATCTGTGTGTAACAACACGTCGACAATATTAGACGTGGCTGTTTGTTTGTGTATTACACCATGTCGACAAGGTTAGACGTGGCTGTTTATCTGTGTGTAACAACACGTCGACAATGTTAGACGTGGCTGTTTGTGTATAACACCACGTCGACAATGTTAGACGTGGCTGTTTGTGTATAACACCACGTCGACAATGTTAGACGTGGCTGTTTGTTTGTGTATAACACCACGTCGACAAGGTTAAAGGTGGCTGTTACTTTGTGTATAACACCACGTCGACAAGGTTAGACGTGGCTGTTTGTTTGTGTATAACACCACGTCGACAATGTTAGACGTGGCTGTTTGTTTGTGTATAACACCATGTCGACAATCTTAGACGTGGCTGTTTGTGTATAACACCATGTCGACAATGTTAGACGTGGCTGTTTGTTTGTGTATAACACCATGTCGACAATGTTAGACGTGGCTGTTTGTGTATAACACCATGTCGACAATCTTAGACGTGGCTGTTTGTGTATTTGACCATACATAGTAATTTTATGCAAGGTGAAAAACATGATTGATATAATTGCTATGTATTTCTCAAAGGAAAAACGAGCAAAGGCGAACATCTGTTTTGGATTGAAGTATGTGAACTGGTTTTAACACTACAAAGGACTGTCACCTACATTAATAACCCACTAAAGTGAAATTTCAACTTTCAAAATGACCGTCATGTTCCCTGAAAATGAAATGTTCTACAACTGCAGCATCACTATTCTAACAAGAGTGCTAAAAGATAGATTTACAATGGTTTACACGTAAAACCACCTAATCTAGAATCCAAAAAACGCTTCTCAGTCCCGGAATCATGTCAGTGATCTATATCGTACAGTAATGCAGTTCTAATTGTCCAAGTCAACCATACCTAACGCCTTGACGATGCCTGTTGGCAGCGAAATCTACCTTACTTGAGGTGTGTCTTAAACCTTTTGACTGAGCTAACTTGTTGCGAACACTAAGGCGCGCATTCATTTTGGCAGCCAACGTCCTATCCTTTGCGTGTAGCTCTTGTCTTCTAATATATATATATCGGTCCTAGGATTCCATTGAGACAAAGCTGTTACTATTCTAACGAGTGCATCGATGACATCAATGAAATAGTTGGAGGCAAGTTGAGTTTTGCTTACCATTGCTTGAATCGTTCGCGATATGACTCCACTACCCATCTAGATTTAGTTATGGATCTGCTAAGGTTAGCTTATAGGTCATCATGTTAAGTCTGCCCATGTTTTAGACAGGACGACATATTAGTTGTCATAGCACGTGTGTCCAAGTTTGGCAAAAATATCCCTAAACCCTCGATCAACAACGACGTTGTCATCGTTCTCCAGACAGGACAGACTGTCCATGATGGCTTTTTGTAACTATCGCATCATTATCCCTTCCAGGAAAATGTCATACTGTGTCCAAAATATAACCATCAGACAGGGATATGCTCATGAACATCAAATAGTTCCACTTCTTCTTACCACATTATGAGATTATCTACAGCTTGTGATCAGACATTTTAGGAACAAAGACATATGTACCGTCAAGTACGACAGTCGCCTGCTGGCCAAGAAATGCTTCCTAGAATACAGTGTTTTGCTCTAGAATATTTCTTTGGTAAGATGTTAACAAGTCGTTGAGGTGATACACATCAAAGCCAAAATGAATACTTTGCAAATGTGATGAAGTTATGATCTTTGGGCAGGTTTAGGGTAAGATATAAAGCTATCTACATGCTAAATAGATTTGAATTGACTGAATATGAAAGACATTCAAAATATCATTTGTTCACAAAAAATGACATTTTCTCACAAAATGCCTAAAGGATTAATCATATCGGCGGTACACTTACTGTTTTAGTATTTTGGTATTTAGTGTGTTAGTGGCTATCGGCGGTCACAGTTTAGTAACTTAGTTACGTAATTAGTTAATAAGGCAAGTGCGTCATCGATTAATTTTGATGAAATGTAAAACCAAAGTAACAACATCACAAAGTAATGTATCGATGAGTGGTCTCGAAATGTAAAAAAATCACTAGGCCGACCTCTATGGTACATACGCATTGCTGGAAATCCCACCTTTTAAACTTCAACATGAAAATTATTTCATTAATACGATTCCTTGTATTCCCGATGGGTAAGCGTCTTCTGCTTTATCGACTCTCTCACCAAATTTAGGCCAATCCAAATAAGCAAGTGAGTAATATCACGTTCGTAAAAGGAGAACCAAGTGAACAACTATTATACTACCAAACATACTAACGAGCAACAAACACTCCTTAAGTTTCATAGGAAAATATAAGATTCCGTAATGGAACACGAACTGACTATTTAATACTCAAGTTAAGGTCTGAAACATATACCTGTTCCGCCGTTCTAATTTGGTATACAGGAGCAATATCAAAACCAGAGGATGAAGGCGTTCTTCGATTTGGAATGGTATATGGTATTTTACAGAACAGGAACATTTTTTGTTTGAAGAGCTTTTTTTGGGGCGGATGTATTTTATATGATTGACTATCATCATAAATATTCTCACTGCATGAGAAACGCATCTAGTTATGTAAATTATTACAAGTTAAGATCTACAAAAAATCGTCCGTAACTTTCTAATCAATATGCGAACATAATTGGTCGGTGTCGCTGTGCCACACAAGAGTGACTACCTGACTGACAACCATAATTCACAACTTCACTCATCACAACTTGATATCTTTCTGCTTAACAGAGACAGCCAAAGACAGGTTAACCAATATAGTAGGATGGCAAGAGCATGTATGTATCAAGTATTTACAATTACCCGTCTTATAGGTAAGTGTTGATGATTTTGTTTTATTTCGTTTATAATCTATCTCAGAATTATCAATTGATATCACAATAGCACAGAAGATATACACCTTTAAATGCAAATTTAGAGTTAGTCAATCAGATACAGCTTAGCCTAATTATGAATTAAACTACATCGTAAAGCTGGCTCGTCCATCGCCGACTCATTGATGATGCCATTGGCCCACATTATTGACACCTTGGAAGTCACTGATGTAAATAAAATTTGCTTAATGTCAAAATCCTGATTTGGAGGTGGTAAATCTGATTAAGTTCAATCAGTTTTGTAATTTCCTGGACCGGGTAATTTCAAAATAACGTCGAGTAGGTGTATATATTTTTTTGTATTACTCATATAAGTAAAATCATGGCATAGAGCTTACAATGACAGAATTCGCCCGTAGTGTCTATCACCTGCAGAAGATACACGGATAGAAAGATCCAGTGTAACGATATTACAACTTCAAAACTATCTCATTTGCTATTACAAATCCATAGATATTGCTTAGGTGTGAAAACATCATGCTATAACATTGGTGATTTCAGACCGACAGATTCGTTATATGTATTTGAAAAATATGTAAAACTTGTCATCAAAACGTTTTAGACATATTGTCTTTAAAAGCATACCGCAAGCTAGAGTCGTGTTTGTTACCAAAATTGTATCGCATGTTCAACAGAAAGGCTGATCCTTACTGATGAATTTAGATATGTTGTGTGCAAGGAGTTTGATATTTTTTTTTCGATAATTTTGAGAATGGACTGAAAAAAGTAAACAAAGATACCTTGAAAAGAAAAAGAAAAAAATATTGAATTTCATGATTCCTGTGAAGAAAACTCATGCTCATTGCTTCAAACATAAATGACACAATTTTTATAGTTATTTTTTTACGTAATATAAGTTATAACATATTTTAATGATTTGTTTTAATTGAGTCCAGTGTTCTGCTGAAATCATACTCTTTTAGAAATTGCCTCTGTTTGAAAAGTTTATCTTTATCCATTTTGCCATTAATGCACGGATATTTCAATACACATTGTTATCTGATAATGAGGATAGGTGAACAGATCGCATTATAGGATAAGTATAAATAGCAATATTCCTACTCCAACCGTGCAAAAAAAGGATCAATATTAGGCAAACCAAATAAGGGCATCTCAATGATCACCGTTGTCTCTATTTCATTTTAATTTCATCTGAAGCTTATTGATGCAAAATTGGCCTATACTTTCAAATAAGTTTGTAATAGTTTTATAAATGATATATGAACAGGTGCTGGGTAATATCTCAACGGTACATACTTACGAACCAATTGCAACTTTGGTGGGAAAATAAATTAACAAAACTGTCTTAAACAATGACTAGTATATAAATGTTTTCAGGTTGTTGTTAAGATTATTGAAAACTTAAATATAAGATACACGTGTTCATAAAGAATACAAAATGTGGTAACCCACAACGCAATATAGACTGCGTGTGCACATACGCACTATACAGTATCGGGCGCACATCTCTGTGATAGGATCGCACCTTTTTTTTGCAATTCAGTGAAGATGTTGCTTACATTATGGATTAAAAATTAAACGGGAAATTCGTGTAATTATCGTTCACAGGGCTATCAAATTGATCGGTGGTTATAAAAGGCATTCGACAGTGTTCAAAATAACACTGGACCTTATATTTATTGGTTTTTCTATCACATACTCTCACACCTCAGAGAGTGGAAGGTGGGGTTCCTATGGCAAACATTACTTTTATACAGGTATATACGCAGCAGATCCGTACCGACTAGGTCCCGTGTAACAAACACAATAATTAAGATTTACATGAGTATATGTTTGCAAAAAGATAGAAATATAAGAGTAATATAGAAGTATTGAAATAAAATTTTCTCTGTGACGGTATCAGATTTCAGATGATTCATTGCCGAGACAAAAGAGAGATCCAGTGAATGCTTACATTTATAATTTACATATTATATGTATATATAATGAGATTTTGTACACTGAGGCTTGTCACGTATCGCGCTTGGTAAATAAAACACTTTAAATTACGAATGTATATAACTATTGAGAATCTGATATATCTACATGTGTCCAGCCTGTATATCTGCGGCTTAATTAGGAAATATATTTTGTATTTGTTGTATAGTTAGAAAATAGATAAACCTTATCGCATATTTATCTTTAATCCATTTCTAAATTAACATTAACCACGATAGAATCGCAAAACTGTGGGATACAACCACATAGTTTATTTTGTCCAGTTTTTCTATCGTGCGCTCATGGTGCAGACAGCGAGCACATACCGTGAAACGTTGTGCAATCCTACAACTGTAAAATAAACAATGAAGTTGAAGTTGCATATAGTGAGCAAATGAAGAAAAATCTAGTATTCATGAGTAGGATGACTTATTTCAATGATAAGATGGCTGCCAATATCTAAATGGTCTGTAACACTGGTAAAACAACGTGTTTGGTATCTGTTGATCTATAGCTTGCTTTGTATTTAAAGATGGTTTCCGTTCCAGTTTTCCAAAAAAAAAAAAAAAACCATTCATTTGTATTCACTGTTTAAATCCAACGGTCTGTATTGATTTCAATACAGGGCCATATGGTTTGTATCTAACCATTGAAAAATCCAGAAATGTTATTTTGTAGGGATTATATTGTACGTCACATGTCCCTATATTGATTGTCTTGAGGGGTACTGGAAACTTTCAGCTTCACTCCGGAACTATCTACCCGACTCCGACCTCGTCACTACGACAACCGCTAGCTACAAGACCTGTATGATCCTGTGTTTGATGACGGATGGGTGCTGCTTTATCTCCTACATTGCTTCCTCTTCTGAGTGTGTACGTCATCGCAAAATGTTGAACTATACACCTCAGACCTCTTCATCCGTTTGGAACCTGAGTATGTTACTTTATTTTGAAATCAATCAAATCGATCACTTTGTATTAAAGCTAAGGAAGTTGTTTAAAGCTCAGCACAAGTGACAGCTGTCAATATTTATAAAGTATGTCTGCCAATAATTTTATACCTGTATTAATTAAAGACACCTTGTACTGTTACCATGTACGGATATCAACCCTCCTCGTTAGTTTACAATGCAAACTTGACCCAAAAGGGATAAAACAACACAGACACAACATCACTTTCTGGAGCTTCCTACCTGTAATTGTTTTTCACATATGAAAACTCTTAATAGATCAGTCCAAATTCAATTTCACTGTGCTGAAACAATACATAACAAAACCCTAATTACAACAATTTTGAATTTGGTCTTGTTTTGTCGTTCTGTCTTTTGCTTTTTATCGGAAACTTCTCGGCTGTTTTAAATTAGGAAAAGAACTCTTCAGCAGATCACATTAAAGACGTGTTTAAAAATCTTTCATATTTTCTCATTAAACACCTAACAGACAATTAACTTAGGCTCTCAGCTTCTTTCCTAATCCCTAAAGAAACTTATATTTACATATTCATATCATTGGATGCTGTAATAAAATCTGAATTAAACTAAATATGCATGAACCACGCCTTTTGCACACAAATTTATATTTAGAAACATTAGAGTCAAACAATGAATACAACTGCGTCATACCCCCGTGTTATCATTTTAGGGCACGCTGATGATGCTTATTAGGCGACTGAGAAAAAAAAAAAGTGATCGAAAGAAATATCAAAATCCATGTGTATGTTCTCAACCTTCCCATTATTTCAGTAAAAATTAAAAGATTACATACATGTTATGACAAATCTTGTAGACTAATCGTTCACCAGCAGTGTCTACCACCTGCCATCTGGAAGAGTTTACAAAAGACACACAAGTGAAAAACACCTGTTTATGCAGGTCAAGTAATGAGTAAACCTACACCATACGGCTTTTCATTATACCATTTTAATCGGAAACCGACCAATTCTTCTTTCAGATATGGATTCAATTATCATTGTCATTTACCTTTAACATAACGTGGAGTACCTTATCAGTTAATTAATAATAATTATTATTGAAAAATAATTAGAATCAAGAATCCGCGTTATTGTTTTGAAATCTTGATCGAGTGTATGGATAATTTCACTTTAAATTCATTATATTGGGTCAAATAAAACGTATGTAAAGACGACCAAACGAAAGACTTAGATTAAATATGTCTGTAAGTATGATATCCTAGTATGACTTTGTATTATATCAATCTTAGCAAGTGAGAAACACACTTTTAGTAAAATGATGCCCATATACTTTTTGTAACACCATTACAATTATCACTGTTTATAACACGTAGAATACCGCCATATGTTAAAGCAAAATACATATAACTGCACTTACATTAAAAAAGTACCTGACACGTCATCAATTTTAAACACAATGAAACTAGATTTTTTTATGGAGATCCCCAAAATTGTACTAACAGATTAACAACCAGGTATATTGCCTTGTACCAAAACGATAACAACGAGCATTAACTTCAACGGAAGACAGCAAATTCTAATTATCAGGAACATTCGCTCAAACCCATTGTAGTTAACAGCATTTCGTACGTCTTGTTTCTATCCTTTACTGCAGTGAAAGATGACGGTTGCCCATGTGGTTGGTACAGAGTGCAAACAACATGCCTTATCTTTCCCAATGTATATTTAACGAGGGATGAATCCTTGGTGAGTATATTCAAAAGTAATATAAACTTAAGGATGGTATAGAAAAGCATTAGCATTCTGTAAAGTTAACAAAGTCTGAACCAGTTATCATTGGTTTGCTATAACATTTAGGAATTTTAAATAAACTGATAAACTATTACGTGGATTGCAGTTTATGCCTATACAGTTAATATTGAATTAAGCATGGCTCTTATTAAAGCTACTGATAGGATGATGAACCCTACCAAGAGAAAAACCATTACACTAACAAAACATAACAAAAAGTTAACGAAGTTCTATATGAATTTGTCATGCAGTAATTACAACTAAAAGACAAGCAATGAAAATCCTTGGCAAAACACTGCATTATTAACGGTGTTCCTCCATATCTGAACCACCGAGAAAATACAAAAAATATTTTTGTTTTGAGTACATTAACAAGAAGTTGTTAGGCAGGCAGTTCTATTACAATAGGCTTTACTACTATTCTTCTGGTGATTTCAGATATTATACTGGTGTGTGGAGTACTGTAACATGTAGTTGTCAAGCAGGTAGTTTTACTATTGTTCTCATGACGATGTTATGTTTAATTTACAGAAATCATGTACATTTTTCATTCAGATGTTTTATTTATTGCCAATTCATTTGATACATCAAACAGATTTCTTAGAACGAAAAATTTGTAATACTGAGAAATACAATACGAAACTTATTTTTATTCTTTGATCTTTCTGTTTACATTTTTATTAAAAATATACAGAAAGTTCATGTAATCAATTTGTTTGATTTTCTTCAGTCCTGTATATCAATTTCGTACAGGAAGAGTCAACGTTATATGAATCAAATTTCTTGTTATATATTTCTTTCAGGGTTGGTGCTGCATTGGAATAGAATGAACATTATTGCTATTATTGCACTATATTGTAATTATATGATCTAGGTATACTGTCAGCGGATGGACGCCACTCTGGCCGAAATAATCAATGATGAAAAGTACCAATTTATCGTAGGAATCGCAAAAGTTAAAACAGGTAAGGCACCACATTGTTTTCCCGTGCTACATACTTGCTATACGTCATCCTAGTCTTAACTCTTTCGGAGACATTTCCGATTATTAGAGAAAGTTATCATGTGCATGGACTATTAACATGAACTACCTTCAAACTTATATCAGTAACGTGAAAGTTAGTTATTCGTATTTTAAAAATTAAAATGTGTTTACATTACAATTGCATGTCATGTGTTAGGTCCTTGGTTGGATAAGAATCTTTTGAGACAACCCCGAATTCAGCTAAATGTTGCGTTCGATTCCGTGAAAGTTGGAAATGTAGTTTTACTATTTAAACTGCCTTTCCCCATTTTATACTGTCTAGAGTGTATATTTTCACACGAGATTTCTATTGAAGACTTGTTTTCACTTTTTAGGCATTTAGCACGTTTCAAACAACTAACAAACTTTAGTTTCATTGATTCGTGTGTAAGAGTCAAGTATTGTTCAAATGTCTCTATATTTATTTTTGTTAAAGATAACGTAGTTGCAAGTGAACAAATTGTTTCCTGTTACAAGCAAATCGGTTACTTGTGTCTTAAAGAAAAAATGTTTATAGAGACACAATCCTCTGAAAATCATTGCATGATATCAGTCATATAAATGTTAAGTCGTAAATTTGGAATTATCCATGCCCTTGTTTCTTCCATAGAGATTACTGACCTGTGGTTAGGTGGGTCTGATATCAGTAATGAGGGCACGTGGTTATGGAATTCGGGTTTGCCAATAACAGGATTTACGAAATGGTCTTCATCAGCACCTGACAATTATGGCAAAAATACGAATAACGCTGACTGTCTATACATGGGAAGCTGGATTGATTTTTATTGGGATGACTGTGGCTGTGCCGAAATTAAATCTCCTCTGTGTGAGAAACCAAGTCTTTAAGGAGACAGTGGAAAAACGAAAGATATTCCTGAGGAGGCACGACGAGTGTTTCTATCAAGAACGTAGTTTTCAAAGAAATGAAGTATGGCTTAAGAAGTTTGGGTGTTTTTTTTAGCAAAATATTCCATTTATTTTGGAAACGCATTTGATGAAAAACCGTTCAAATATATGCAACATCGTTTTATTGTTTGCTATATCTTAATGTATGTATGGGTAGTCATTGCACACTATAAGTAACACATCGAATTATCTCAACACAGAGGCATAAATATATCGAGGAAACAATTAATATTCTAAATTATACAATGAGACATATACATGTCCATCTATTTATGTAAAATAGAATGATGGTCAAGACTTTTTTGAAGACAAGTATTGATGTTGGTTTTCATTGGTGAATTTTTATCATTTCTAACCGTTTTTAATATCTGTATTATCAACAAGACCCCTGAAGTAATCGTCGGTTAAAATTAGGTTTTTCATTTAATATATGGTGTAATAAGCATTGCCTCTATCGTCTTCTAATATGCAGTTAATTGAAAAGATAATATTTGTCTTTTAAATATTGACAAAATCAACAGACCAGGTGAATAAATGTAATAAACATATGCACGAGGAACTGGTAATGTGTTCACGTGCACTTTCCATTAACCATTAACCTTATACTTCTTTTTTCTAATTTGCACACTTAGAATTTTTTTGAAATTATCATTGCCATTGAATTATTTACCTTGTACACCGTATACATAATATAGTGAACACCTGGGTATAATGCTTAGAGACTCGGAATTAAATGGAAATCAAAATGCAGATTGCGAAAATACATTAAATTGAAGTAACGTCTATTTACATATATTCAACATTAAAACAATATTCAACATAGCTCTAATTTTGGCTATTGATGTGGCATAAATACTCCCCTCTAACAAATAAATTAAATGTGAAATCATGGTAAAAGAACCCAAACCATTGGAAGAAGATGCCAGAAGTTAGACTGGTGTGCCGAGTACATTAACAGGTACTTGCTAGGTATGAGTTACATGAATAAGCTTTACTATCAATGTCATATACATAATATCATGTCATGTTTTATCTTTCCCTATGTATTTCATTATAGTGGAAAGTAATATCCATTGCAATATCAATACATCTAAAATAGACATTGTCACGAATCACTTTTGATATTTATAAATATATTCACTATTTTACTTCTGGTATATGAATCATGAACATAAACACCTTACGTATTTCTTGTTTATTCCATCATTATATGTACTGACACGCAAAAGAAATCGCATAATTTTACTATTTCATTCAAATATGTCATGTATGTTTTTTTCAACTAATCAAAGATTAAGATTCATTTTACTGGATAACACATCCAGTTAAGTGTATAGTTATCAACTGTTCGACGATGGCAAGGGTCAAGACGGGGTAGTCGTTAGATGTCCCCAGTCGTAATAACGCGTATGTCTTCCGTTTGCATTGTCTGCGGCTCGAATTCCTCGATGCATAGATTTTATTAAATGGTTTATTTGTGCTATAGGGATGTTCTGCCATCCATTCTTCCAGAAGTGCTAGGCCCAAAGCGGATATTGTCTCCGGGGTTTAGGGCGCGTTCTAATGAAAAGATCTAACATGCCCCACACATGCTCTATTGGCGAAAGATCGGGATTGTAAGCGGTCAAGGTAATGTGCCTACGTTGTTTTGACGAAGAATGCCCATAGCTCGTCGCACTACGTGGCAACTGGCATTGTCTTATTGAAAGAGCAGGTTGTGATGGTAAAGAAAGAATTCGACGACCAGTTGCAGAGTCTATGTACTGTTGAGCTACCAAATTGCCTTCGATGACTACTAAAGTGGTCTTGCGGTCACTACAGATACCACTCCACACCATATATAACTCTACCACCGCCAAATCTGTCGCATTCCACCATGCAGTTTTCACTATATCGTTCTCCAGCATGTCTAAAAACCACGTCGACGTCCCTCTGTGCGGTGCAGCGTAAATCTAAACTCATCAGAGAAGAGGACACAGTGCCATCTTTGCATAGGAAACTCATTTGGACGGTGGCGTCGCAACCATTCGAGTCTGACACCCCGTCGAATACGATTTAGTGTTATTTCAACAGAACACGACGAGGTTTTATGCCAAATGACATTAAGCGCCTTAAAACAGTGTCACGGATTATTCTTGGATTATGTGTTCCTGATGTCTCGTTTGCATTTGTTTTCATGAACCGGTCCTGGCGCGACGTCGTAACCTTCGGCTACAGCATATCGAGTATTTCCGCCCAACAGTAACTGCACTGCACTGCTACGTTCAGCATCAGCAAGCCTAGGCATTCTTCACGTGAAGACAAATGATATTCAATATTGGGTGTTTTTCACCAGATATCTGGAGGATGACATAGAGATCGAATACTCATAAAATTATACCACATGTATCGGTGCACGAGCAAATCGGGGTATGTGAACCGTGAATTTCAAAGGAAATGTGTATGGTAGCAGTATGTTAAAATCACGTATGATAATTCCAAATACAAATCAAAATACTGACACTTAATTTGGATTGTGTTTCTTTTGCGGGTCAGTGTATATTAACAATCTATTTGATGTATTCAATTTTATTCTTATAATGAACAAGTAAAAAACTTAGAAATAAAATATGAAAACCTTTACTCTTCATTTCTGTTGTTTCTTTTTCATCAAATGAAGAATTAACATTTTTTCAGTGTAGAACTGGTGCTGTGATTGTTTGAACGTCCCATCGGTAAAAACAAGCACACAACTGTCTGAACACTACAAAACGATGAGGTAAATGCAATTATGATCAACGTGATCTTGAATAAAATTCAAGGAAATCTGAACAAAAAGAATGTGACTGCTTTGATATCATGCAGATAATGCATCTAGCATATGGAATTCAAGAAATGTCGAGTTCGGAAAATGAGAGTCTAACAACGAAACAATATGGTTTAGAAACAAATCCAAAATTCAGCATTTTTCGAAACCACTACAACTATGCCAAACACTCAGAATTCTCTCATTTTTTAACAAGACAATTATTGTGGATGAAAATTATTTCCTGCAAAATAGCTTTGGATTAGCACTGGGTTTACTGCTGGAACCAATCATTTTCGTCAACATGCAGACATGTTTACGTCTGATCTGGACAAACTTTCAAACGGAACTCAGGTATGTTGGTCGCGGTTACACAACTGGATCCAAACCCCTTATATCGCCTCATTTATCTTAACCAGTAACCGATAGTCATTGAAATTGCAAAATTGTGTGTGTTTATTTTTGTTTTTTTGGTAATACACTAATGAGCCTTAGGAGCCATGGTCTTAGGAGCAACATTTACTTCAATGACCTAGAAAACGTACGTCTAATGGTGAAACAAAATACACAAATAAACATTTATCATTGTCATACACAATAGAGGAGATTAGCTTCGTCTAGGTCAAATATTTTTATTAATGAAATCGATATTATATCAGCTAATTTATGTTGTATGTTGTATGAAATTAATATAAGGTCAGTCAATTTACTATTTATCTATTAAATTATATTAGGCCAACTAACTTATGTGTTATTTTTGAACTTATATTAGGTCAGCTAAATTTTGTGTTATCTATGAAATCATATTAGGCCAGCTAACTTATGTGTTATATTTTATCTTATATTAGGTCAGCTAAATTATGTGTTATTAATGAAATTATATTAGGCCAGTTAAATTATGTGTTATCCATGAAATTATATTAGGCCAGTTAAATTATGTGTTATCTATGAAATTATATTAGGCCCGCTAACTTATTTGTCATCTATGAAATTATAACATCCATTATATTTTTTCTTTCCTACACATTTCTATGAGCCATCGGATCTGTGATTAGGAGAAGGTTCGCGTGGTATCCATGGAGACGTTTATATTTCATTGTGTAATAAGTACTACGGCGTCACAAAAAGTATCTGAAGTGTCTATCATTGAGTTACACATTCACAGAGAAGTCATGATATTCGTAATCTCCTGTAAGACCCGTGCTAGTCCCCTGTATTCTTGGACATTTAATGTACACTGATATCGAAGACAGCTTCAAACACAACAAAACAGCGATGTTTTTTACTTATCAATTTTCCATCTATACCTTTCAATATTGATTTAAACATTAGATTCTGGCGATTTACAAAATCAAACGCCTTAGTATAATCAACAAAGCAGCAGTAGAGCCTTCTCTTATTTCGCACAGTGCAGTAAATTATTGTTTGTATTCCAAATAAATCGTCAATAATAGAATGATGTTGTTTTAAGCCAAATTGAACATCAGCTGTTTTACTACATCTTAAGTCAAAGATCATCAGTTTACTATTGAGTATAAAACGTTTTCCGAGACAACTAACAATAGTAATCCCCTATAGTTATTTACAGCATTAGTATCCCCCTTTTGAAAACAGGAACAATATTACCTTTCGTCCAACTTTCTGGAAATTTCTATTTAAGTACACTGTTGAGTATAGTGATAAAGCAAAGCATTAACCGTCTTACATTTGATTAAAAACTCATTCGAAATACAATTTCTCTACACAACCTCTTACATGTCATGTTAAACCATGGTTTTCTCTACACAACCTCATACATGTGATGTTAAACCATGGTTTTCTCTATACAACCTCTTACATGTGATGTTAAACCATGGTTTTCTCTATATAACCTCATACCTGTGATGTTAAACCATGGTTTTTTGTCTATATAACCCGATACATGTGATGTTAAACCATGGTTTTCTATATATAACCTCTTACATGTGATGTTAAACCATGGTTTTCTCTATATAACCTCTTACATGTGATGTTAAACCATGGTTTTCTCTATATAACCTCTTACATGTGATGTTAAACCATGGTTTTCTCTATACAACCTCTTACATGTGATGTTAAACCATGGTTTTCTCTATATAACCTCTTACATGTGATGTTAAACCATGGTTTTCTCTAT